GCAAACTATAAGAGCCACAAGGCTGCACTTAGAGAGTTAAGTGCTCCAGAGATAATATGATACTATAAGATATGATGGGGCCTGATCATTCATTATTTAACCTTGCATTTACTGCAACCGCTGCACCACCACTGTGCATTATATATGTATTCGGGGCCTGATTTAGTCTATTCTTTTGTGTCATTAAGTGTTATTGTTGTACAAAAATAAAAATGCACTATTCAGCCATGCTGTTGCAGTTTACAAAGACAATATTCACTGCAGCTTGTGTGGAAGCAGCTCCACACACTGATAAGTGACCTCTTTCCTCATACTGTTTGACTGACAGATGATTACAGGGAAGTGCAGTCCAGAGGAAAAAGATTCCTCTCATTAACTTCTCAGGTTACATGTGTGTGACTTGAGTAGAATTAATTTAGGTTTAGCTTGGTTAGATTTTGGCTTGCCTGAGGCATTTTTGTTTGTGTGTTATACATTGTTAAGCCATAAAAATCTAGAGATTGAGAAAATTAATGTCAAAATGGCCACAGGAACAAATTCTCAAATGCATTGAGGTAAGCTGGAGCTACATTTGGAAGCATCCATGAGGTGTTTTTACATTATGTCTCCCAGCTGGTGAGAATTAGCTTTGCGTGAACTGTGTTTCACCTTTAACGGCATGAATTTGCAGGATGGAGCTTCTGAGTTCAGGTCTTTGTGTTTTTGTGGGTGTTGAGCTGGAGCCTTGTAGAAACAGCAGCCTGTGTGTGTTTCCACAGAGCCTAGAAGTCAGACTAACAGCACACACGGACACTGAGCTTCTGTTAGCAACGTGAAATTATCCTCAGTCTTCTCCATGCTCTCACACACACCTGAGGGAACAGGCTGTGTTTAGGTTGAGCTTAACGTCTGCACAGAGTCTTCAGTGTGTGTGTGGGTTTGTGTTTGGCTGTGGAAATTGCTTCTCACTGTTTTTCACAGGACTTGCTGTCCCCGTCTCTGTTTTTCCTACTTCTTGCTGTTGAAGTTTGAAAGAGGTCTTGTTTGCACCATGTTTGCTGGAAAAATATTTCAAGCTTTGTTAAAGAACAGTTGAACAGAAATCTGGTGAACAGATAAGCCCGGGGATCAGTTTGTGGGATTTTGCAGGTGGCTGTGAGCTGTAATATGAGCAATATGAGTATGAAACATGAAAGCTGCTGCTTTGCAAAACATGATCCTTTGAATTCTTTGAAAACTTCTTTCACCGCCTCTGGACTTCATTTTTACATCCAGTGGTTGTTTCCACAGTTGGGTGGTCTGCAGGTCAGAACTCTTTGTCCTCTCTACCTGTGGGTCTGAACCGCCAGACTCAGACCAGACAACACTGTACCAAACAGTTACACCTACAGACTCTGTTATTCCTCAGTGGCACTGAATTATTCCTGAAGGGAAATCTATGAGAGACTTTCTGTACCACTAAACCTGGTAGTTAACCTCCCTCTGCTCTCAAAGAGTGTGTTGTGCTGAAGCATGTGGAAAGTAGAGCTTAATACAAGTTTCAAGTCTGTGGAGGCAGACTTCCCACTTCAATTTTCAGTGTAGGGGGTTGCCTCTTAATTTGAGGGTATTTAAAGGCTTGAGATCATTGCGTTGTGGGGATGAGCCACAGATACTGATTGTGTTGTCACTTGTACTGAGCTTTTAATGCAGCCATACTGTGACTTCACATATCTCTAGTAGAAATCTAGACTATAGTGGAAAAGATTTTTAAACTGACCCTTTGCCTTTAACAAAGAAATAAATAAATAATCCATCCAGGAGCTTTGGACTGACAAGACTTGCTTCTAAAATTCATTTGGTTACATCTCTGCTCTGTCACATTCTCCCCCATATCCTTTGAAATGTTTTTGTAACATTCTCCTCCTCCAGTAACATTGAATGATTCACAGTTCAGAAATAATCCTTATTGCTTTGGTGACATCAAAAATCTGTTGAATTTTGTGGAGGAGCAGTTTGCACTGACATTGACTTTCTTTGTGCTCACAGTGGCGACACATGGAGCATGTGTTATAGGTGCCATAAAACATTTAAGTCATGTCTTTTACACACCATTTCAGATTGCCTGAAGTGATTTTAGCTTAACTTCAGTTTCAGAATCTTTCTAGTGCAACAAATCGGTCAGATTCTTAAGGGAATCCTGAAAATTATCCTGAAGAATTTGGTCTCAAAAATGTGCTTTGCTTTTTGTTTCTCCACTTGGATGTTTGAACTTCGCAGCAGAATGACGTATGTGCCGGTTCTGACACCAGAAGGCTGTTTTTACGTTTGTCTGCTGAAAAGGGGAAAGTTTCTTTGCACTCACCTTAAATGAGTTTAGCACATGTAGGTACAAGCAGGTCCAGTGTGCAGCTTACAGAAGTGTGATGTGGAAACTTGTGGGCTCCAGTGGAGAGACGCTGAGAATCTTGCGTGGAAATATCTGTTAGTTATGCAGCTTTGACCTTATACTACAGCCTGTCAGTGTGGCATGAAGACTGTTAGTTTGGAGTGGAAAAGAAAGAAATGAGGGAACGGATTTGATCACAGTTCACTGAAGAGACAGAGCCTTCTGTGAGCTGGTGAAGAAAAAAAAAAAGTTATTTGACTCAAAAGTGTGTATTCAGGAGTGTTTTGGTTTTTGGGGGTTTTTTAATGGCAAAAATTACATTTTGATGATTGTCAGTGACGAGTCCATATTCATAAAAACAGCCATGACCGTGTGTGCTGGTGCAGGATACAGTTGGCACATTGTAAGCTAGCTGAAAGCTGATGCAGCATTTAAATGGATTGTTTTTTGTATGTAATCTTTATATTGGAACCTTGGAGTGCACCAGACTGAATAAATTTGGAGAAAAGTTTATGCTTTTTGAATCAAGGATCCAGGACGTTAGGATTTCAGTCTACCAAATACTTGGCATTTAACACAATTCAGCACTTTGTGTGTCATATTTGAATTCAGTTGTTCATATATAAGCCTTTGCTCACTTTATCTCAGTTAATGTGCCCTCTTCAGGTCTAATGGCTGGCGGTGTAAAAGAACAAACTCTGTATCAAAGATTAAGACAAGATGATGCCACCCATTAGTTACCGAAGTTTTGTTGTGAAACTTTAAGCCGACTTTTTTTTTTTTACAGTTGCCATCTTGGTGTTTTCTAATTGAGAAACTAGGGGATACTACACACTCATAAGAGGCCAGCTGCTTCATCTTACTTTGTGAGTCAAATGAGGACCATAATGTAAAAAAAATATATAATTTGGTTTTAATAACACTCAAAAGCAGCATTTGAGATCAGAGTTTCACCTGGAAAGTGTTTCCTAAGTTTATAGAGCAATAGGGTAATTTTGTCATGGACTAACAAGGAGTTGCTCCCTAATGGCCATTAGAAAGGTTTCAGGGTTTAGGCATCAGCTAAGCATAATACCCAGTCTGCTTTACAGGGAGGAATAAGAGCTAAAATGGTGATGACAGAACTGTAAAATATCATCTTCAAGGCAGATCACTCCTGAACTGTCCCATGGCTAGCTTTGTGAAGGCTATTATTGTCTAACAAAGATTCGAGGTTGTTACAGTGGTGAGCTGGGTTTCAGGGCTTCTCATGACTCATGTGACAAGCCTGGTATGGTTCACATGCTGGCATAGAGTCCAGTAAACAATGTAGTAAATCAAATCAAAGGAGTCAGAGAAAGGGAAACCAATGTCCGTTTCTCTTCCTCAAACTCAAATTCCATCCCACTCTAAAGCACCTCAATTACTCAGAGCCTTTTACTGACATGTTATTGAAGGAATTCTAAGCATGCAAGATGCCTGTTAACCAACGACAAAACGCTCAGTCTTGTTCATCTGAGCTGGGAAATCCTACATTGCCATACTAATTTTCACATTTTAAGCACTTATGTTCAGCGCACACAGAAGGACAAGGTCAGGCAGGGTGTGTGACAAACAGCTGACTGCGTGTGTGATGCGTTTGCATGTGTCTCTTCACTGCTTTTATGTGGTGCTGTTCTACCCTCTGGTGGTAGCATATGGGTAACACATTGTGAGCCTGTGTGGTTTCCTTCACACACAGTATCGCTCATTATAAGGAAGAGATGTTAATGTTAATGTTGTTTGTAAGAACTGTGATACTTGCTTTGGTTAACTGCCTCCACACCATGAATACACCAAAAGCAAATATTTTTAGATTTAACATTAGCTGGTTGTTATATTGCAGTAGAAAGTTGATCAAAAAGTTAAGGATGGATTTGTGAAAGTTTTTACCACAGATGGCGTGGTGGGAATTTTTTCACTGTTGTGTAATCAAGCATCAGGACATTTGCATAATATCCTCATTTTTCGAAAAACAAATTAACGCCGAATCAAATAAAAATTAAACAGTGGGAAACATTGTGGTGATAATGTAATTAAGTGCAGACTCACAGCTTTCATTTGATGGGTTTTACACAAAATAAATGTATATACTGTTACAAAATTACAGATGGTTTTTAAACATAGCATTTTTCACAGGTTTAAAAGTGTTTGGAAAACTAAAACGATGCCTATCATTCATTTGCATGAATTTCTATGTAAAGTTTCTGTGTGGTTTCCTCCACACACAGCTGTTTCATTCCTTGGGATTCTTTTTGAGCTCTTTACTGCAGCTGCCTTCTGTTTCTGCTTGTTTGTGGTAATTTTATCCTCGGTTTTTCCTTCCTGCAGTGAAAAACATTTTTAGATGAGCTGAAGTGGAGAAGTCAATTTCTTTGCCTTAAGGGTTTCTTGAGTTGCGTTTGCTGTACGTTTAGGGCCATCATCCGTCTGTACGATGGCTCTATCATGAGCCTTTTCTTCTACATACTCTTGTCCTCTCATCATTGTTCCAGGAGTGTGTGTGTAATACTGGTGATTTGTATCATGAAGCTAAAATATCAGAATTGCTTTGGACTACAGACATTTCTGCTGTCTCCATATATTTCTATCATCTGGACCGATCTACCATCAGTTCCTCCTGTTTGTGTTTTAGGGAAGGATGAAGCTCGGGGACAATTGGACAACGCGCTGCAGGACGTCAATGTGCGCTACGCTGTGCTGGAGGACACCGAGAAGCGAGCTGTGTGCAGAGCACTGATAGAAGAAAGAGCTCGATACTGTAGTTTTGTCAGCATGCTGAAGCCTGTGCTGGTCAGTTGTGTGTGTGTCTGTGTGTGAAAGAGGGATACAGAACAATACTTTTTCAGACTTTTCTAATCTGGCAAAGTAAAATAAAAGGAGCTTGTCTTGTAGGACCATGAGATCAACATGCTGGGTGAGGTGACACACCTGCAGACCATTCTGGAAGATCTGACAAACTTGACAGCTGAACCCAATAAACTTCCACCAGCCAGCGAGCAGGTACCTTAACCATCTTCTCCATCTTTACTGATCTCTCAGTTTTTCTCTAGCACCCTCTGCAGGCCTAATATTACCCTTTTAGTGCTATTACTCTGTTTTCCCCAGATTTGGATTCTCTGTGGTGGGAGACTCTCATCCACAAATATTTTAATTGCCAAGTGCTGTGACAAGTTGACAGTAGCTCTTGTTCTGCAACCTTGCTGAACTTAATGTTGCAGCACACAGATCAGTTTTTGCAACAGGTTATGATTTGTGGCTCTTCTGCTTACTGCAGATCAAAGCAATTCAACACATGGAGGTGGGGCTTCTCTAAAGAAGTAGCCCAGCATGACAAACCATTTAATCAGCAGGTCCTTGTCATTTAAAAAACAACAAAAAAAAACAAAAACGAATTTGCATTTAAAAAAAAAAAAAAAATTCATTTTTCCCCCTTGAATGAAAAAGATTAAAAGAACCTTAAATTTCAACATAAGAGTGAAGACATTGTTTTCTCTGACAGATTATAAAAAATGCTCAAGCTGCCAGAAAAATTTAGGTGGCTGTTAATATGCCTGGAAGGCCCCGCCCAAGTACATTAGCAATTTCAAGGCAGATGATGTTTTGTTTTTTTATTTTGTGTCTTATTTTCAGCAAATGTCAGAAAAAGACTACGACCAACAGTGATTGGCTCTACTGAAAGTGCTGTGTATGTATGCAAAGCATGGTTTATCTGCGAAGACCCATCTTTGTCCAAAAAACTACACGCTGTAGTTTATTTTGACCCACACTTTCATTAACTAACTTGGTTCTGGTAATACCCACTGGAGTTGCAAATGTGTATTAATCCACCACTGAATATAGTTCCAGCTTCAGCACTTCCTGTATTTCTGAGCTTTATGCCTTCAGTAGAAACATCCCAACTTTGGAAAATAAAAGGAAAAACACCACAGCTGTCTTTTGTGTGTATTACAGGTGATCCTGGACCTTAAAGGTTCTGATTTCAGCTACACCTATCAGACACCTCCAGCTTCTCCCAGTAACACTCTCTCCAGGAAGAGCAGCATCAGCAGGTGGGTTACACACCAAAGCTGATATCAGTTTACAACATACAGTATTTCATATCACTTCATTTTACATTCTAATAATATCAGTGTGCATTGCTGCTTTCTTTTCATTTTGATGTTTTTTATCACAGTGTTTGTAACTTTACTGTGTGTACTGCACTATATTTAAAAATCACACCTTAAACTTTGTTTCTGTGCAAGTTGATGCAAGTCAAAGTTAAATCCAGGCTCAGACTACATATTTTTCTGAGTTGTGATAATCAAAGTGTCAGATTGGACAGTTACAGTCATAAAGTCGTGCCTTTTTATGACTGACGCACATGAGAGTGTGCACGTTCTGCAGAGGTGATAACTCGAGATGTCCAGGATGAGAGTGTAAACAGACAATCACAACAAAGCGTGTTATATTACTGGCTTTCGGCTCCATTTCAAACTTTCACTGAGCTTATAGCAGCAACTTCATTCCTCTTTCACTTTGTTGTGTTTTGCAGTGTTTATGGCTTTTAATTCTTAAATAAGTTCTTTATTATGTGATTTTCACATTCCAGACAGTCGCTGCTTTTTTCTTTCTTTCTTTCTTTCTTTCTTTCTTTCTTTCTTTCTTCATTTCTTAATTTCTGTGTCTTGGCCTCATAGCTACCAGTCAGGATCAGTGAGACATGTTCCCTCTTTGGACTCTATCAGCTGTGCTGTGGATGGACTACACATGCAGGTAACGCACTTTTTAACCTTTGTTACAACAATTTTATTTCTGTTGTTCTCAAAAATACTGTTAAGAATATATTTTACACTATGTGGCCAAAAGTACATGGTCATCCCTTTTCACACACTCCTGTGTCTTTTAGCTCAGTTTTTTTTTATTTCCAGGACAGTAATGGTAAATCTTTATTATATAATTGTAGAAAGCAACTTCCTTCTAATTCAGATGAACTTTCTGCACTGCATCCATACTGTGCTTGCTAACGTTAACAGAGAATCACTTCATCCTCTTGTCCAAATATTTTAACATTTGGCTAAAAAAGGTGTATATATGTAAAATGGCAGCACCAAAAATGCTGTACTGACAGTTCAAAATGCAAAATATAGCTGAGGGCACGGTGGTTATGTCCATCTTTCTTAAATAGCTTATGGCCGACGCTTCCAAAGTGCATTTAAAATCAGCCTGACAGTTGTGTGTGTGCGCTCAGCTTTAGGCCAGATCCCCCAACCTCATTGTTGGACTTTAAAACCTTTCTGGCTGAATGGGAACAAATGTGGGCAAATGTTAGCAAATGTTAGCAGTAGATTAATGCCCAGAAATCACAAGTGTAGCATTTGGGGCTGTCCATTGATTTCTAGCCATATACTGTACATCAGTGATATTAAGATACTCTTATTTCATTCAAACTTATATACTTTATAGTTTTAAATCAAATTTCTGCATAAATAAAGCAAATTCTGGTCAAATATTTTCAATATCTTTAAAGGTGCATTTCACTTAAATATACCATTCCTGCAATTCTGTACACTCCACATTGTTCAGGCTTCATCCACATTTTAAAATGACACTGTCAGCTTTAAGGATCTTCAAAATAAAAGCTTGTAACAGTAACAACAAAAACAAACACATGCCACTCTAACCCTTTCCTGTGTGTAGCGCTGCTCCTCCCCCTATCTGCTCACCGGCTGCGATGAAAGCGGTCGATCTCTCAGCGAAGGGAACTCCCCCTCTCGCCTCGGCCGTCACGGCAGCCGTGGTCGCTATGGTTACGCAGCTGGCTATGGCCACCGCCCCGCTCAGAGTCGCCGCTTTAGCCGCAGGGATTTGAAAACTGTGAGGAAAAAACTATATAACTATTACATTCCTCCCGACCACCCGAGTGCCGTCCTGTGATTTTGACCCTTTTGTCTTCCATTGGTGTGAATCTGGTTTCAATGTCACATTGGCTCCAGCTATTTTACCTCTTTTTTTTTTTTTTTAATTCCACATTTTTTCATCAGCTCACACCTTCAGTTTCACCTTTAATTGTCTACGGCCTCCTCCACCCTCAGTGTCCCAGGATGGATCTCATATCTCAAATCCATTTTGTTGTAATTTTAGACGTAATTCTTGATCCCATTCCATAAAAAATGTTTCTGAGCTTTCACAAGTACAGTTCTAGGGACTGTAATTGTGTGAGTATTTGCAGTATTTGTTTATTTATCAGTGTCTTTTCTTTTCTTTTATTCTCTTTAAAAGTGGTTTTGTGTCAACTTTTTTATGCTTATGTTTCAGATTTATGTGTTACAGTTAAGTACTGTACTAATATTCAATTAAAAAAAACCCTTACTTTTCTTGATAGCTTTCAGACTCAAAATGACACTTCTTTAGAGTTTTGTTTTTTTTAAGGTCAAGCTCTCAGGAGCACAAAAAAGGTCTCTTCCCTGACTGCTTTCTCTAAGCCATGAGTTTAGCTGGAAATGCTGTGGTCATTTTAGCTTAGTTGATGTTGGATTTTTGGATTAGGAATTCAAAAAAACTGCCCATAATATATTTTTGATATACGATCACCTGGACATTTAAAAGATTCATAACATCCCACTCCTTATTTTCAGTAGCAGTGAATGTAATAATTAGTTTTATTTAAAAAAAGAGAAAAAAAATCAAACCCGTCCACTAATGGCTTTACACAAAGCCAAACGTGACATATTTATTTTACTTTTTTCCTTGTTAACACTGTTATTTAATAAATAACACGATTGCTTCATCCCACCTCAAAAGCAAGCCTTCTCCTTATCTCAAGTACCTGTTATTTGTCTCCCGCCGCTAAGATGCCCTTTCTGTTCTTGAATTTTGGCGTAATGGCCTTTTAAACTGGTGTCATTATTGCTGTCAGTGGTGTCTTGTCAGTCGTCCTGTAATAAAAATGTAAATTTATGTTTAAAATTGAGGAAATTATCTCAAAATTACGTGAGAAAGAACAAAATCATTAAGGGTTCATGTTGCTGTTGAATGAGGAACTTTTATTGATATTTTTAAAATGACAAATAAGTATTTTCTGTGTGATGTTTCTCTCAGTAAAACGCTGGCTGAACTGCTAACATGTCGTGTTGATGGTCTAACATCAGCAGCCATTATGCAAGTCTGATATATAGAAAATAGAGCTTGTTTCTTACACATCTGATTAAAACTGATGGCTGTGCTGACATGGATGTAAGTTACAAGCTTTTATTACAAATGTATATTCTGTCAATTTCTTTCCACCAGAGACTTTTATGATGGCTGAACAGAACTATACTCTCTGTACTCTCTGCGGTTGATTTGTGATTCTACATTTGATGATTTGTACCTTTGATCCGCTCTGACTTGGTTTCTTAATGACAGGATTCAGTTGGGTCCACCAATCAGCTGGCCTCTGGGGGAACTGGAGGGGCGGAGAACGGCCTCTTGGCCCCTCCACACAATGCCTACATACATGGAGAGCGAGCTCGCGCCATGTCTGCATCTGGAAAGGTAAAACCCACAGAAAGCATATTTGGATTCTGGTGATTGTTCTTGTAAAATCTCATCTGTATCTTTCAGTCTACATGAAACTAACTGAAACAGTATTTGTGTGCTGTCTAAAATAATTTAAAAAACAACAAACAAACTGTGTTTGCTTGGAAAGCATACGGAAGGAATTGATGCCATCTTTATTGAGACTGGGAGGGTTGTTTGTGTATTATAATGTAAACCTGCAACACTCACAACACAAATGTTAAAACAAAAACCCAAAATATTAAACATTTTTAAACATCAAAGCTGTAGCAGCAAACAAACAACACTAAAGTGAAAAACTAATAAAAAGCTAAATAGAAATTAAAAGAAAAATACAAAACAATACATGAATGTATTTAAATTTCTGTTTAAATAAAACAACAAAAAACCCACAAACTAATAACAGCTGAATTAAAATGAGAAAAACCACTGTGGAAATTGCTGAAATGAAATGGAACTGTAACAAAAAAATTCACGAGAACGAATTAAAAATCAAAACTAATGATAAATATTAAAGTAAAATAATACTGTACTAAACATCCCTGAAGACACGAGTTTATTTTACGTTTATATTTTTTGTTTACTGATCCAGTCAATGAACTAAGAAAAACTGTTTATTAAAACAAAACATAATAAATAAAAGTCAGAAAATGCATGCAAGTGTATTTTCAATGGTATATTATAGAGTTCAAAAACAGCGGAATTGGATCTTTAAAATAACCAAATCATCCACCAGAGGGCAGCAGGAGATCAGAGGACTAAAATGATCTGCACCCCTAATCTTATGGCGACTCCTCTTCTCTTTTGTTTCTTTCTACTGTTATCAGTACCTTGTCTGTTTTGCTTTCCTCCTTTTCTTTGTCCTCCCATGTTCTTGCTTCCTGCTTTCAGGGAGTGACAGGAAGAACCAGGAGGTGCTGTTACGGCACTCCACTGTGACAGTTTAAGTGCTTCGGGGAAAAAAAGAGAAGTTCTTTGTATTTCATCTGTGTGAAATTGTCACAGTTGATGTTCTCAGCCAGCATACAGATCCTTGTGGTGAACTGGTGTTTTTGGTGCTAAACAGGCTCTAAAAGGTGGTTGGTGGTTCTTGTGCAAACATCCTGTGGTTAAACGCACAGGTGATGTTCTGAGTCTGACAGTCATGGAGTTAAAACTACAAAGATGACATTCAGAGCGGGCTGCTTCTATGGTTTTTCTCTAAAGCAAAAAAAATAAATAAAAAAACTTGTTCCAAATACTCAAATTACATTCATCACTAATTGACTTTATGAATTAAAAGACACCTGAACTTATTTTACCTGGAGCCCTGAACATGCAGGCATATTGATAACCCAGCAGGAGGCAGAGGACGAGCATAGATTATTAAAAAGTCTCAAAACTAACAAAGTTGTGAGCCACTTTGTTAGCTTTGTTTGTTAGCTAGGTTGATCATTTGCAAAATTTACAGAATGTTAACACTTTAAAAAATGAAACGTTAAATAAAACGTATTTTTATTCATGATTATGATCTAAATGCACTGCCTTTACTATATTGTGCTTATTTACCTCGTCACAATCCCGAAGGCCGATTATGAGCCAAGAAAACGCCTTTCTGTCCTATTTCTGCTATTGAATTTTGTTTTTATAGCACTTTTCAATCCAAAGTAGTTTATTATAAAAAAATAAATAAATAAATAAATAAAAGGGTTGCTAAAAATTAATGCTGAATACGTTTAAAATATTTACATAAAATAGCACAAACACCCCCTGTCCTCCAACCACACTTTCAAAAGCTTGACAAAAGTTTTGCGGATGTCACTTTGGACAGAAGCTTTGACCGCTGGATGGTCAACAGTGAATGAGAAGCATGATCTTGCGGGAGTATATAGATCTTTCGTTAGTTGAAAAGTTTTAACCTCATCCGTCTCCTTCTTTCACTCCTTTAGCACTGCTTGGCCCAGGATCAGCTGGCATTGTCACTGGGTGCACTGAATTCTGACGCCTCGAGAAGCAGCAGAGATTCTCTGCACTGTTCCAGCGGCTATAGCACCCAAACAACCACCCCGTCCTGCTCCGAGGACACTATACACACCCACAGTGAGTACATTAAAGCACAACACTTCTTTTTATTTATACTAAACACAGCTCACTGTGCTGTCAGGATTTTTTTGTTGCTGTTGTTTTTGTCCTAGAGATAATAGAAAATCTAATTGAGCTCTTGATTAAAAGCTGTTTGAACCAACTATGTGGCCGAGACGAACATCATGTGATCCAAATACAAACTAAAGTGGCAGCAGCACCGCCAACAATAAAGCAATTAGATGTTGTGTTTATTATGAAAATGGAAACCCATTCTCTCACGGAGCCATAACCTTGGTGTGAATTGCTGCTTGTCTGGCTGAATTTCTCGGATTTACCCTTTAGTGGGTGTCATTTCTGATTTCTGACAGTGAAACTGACTCTCTTGACCTGCCTGCTGTTCACTTGTTTTTTCTGTGCTTTTCTGGTGTATCAGCTCATCTTTCCTTCTTTTCCTGTTGTATTTCTTTGAGTAGTTTTGTGTTTTCTTGGTTAAACTGCCTTCCTTCTCTTCCAGCTGTAAAGAGAGATCCTCCTATCTATGGTAGGTCTCTGACTGCCTGTATATCTGCCTGCCTGTCTGTCTGCTTATGTCACATCCAACATACCATTAAATCTACTTTTGGTTCATCTATTAAAGATCTTACATCAGCTGAAAGAGCACTGTTTATTTAAAAGAAGCAATAAATGTTGTCCTTATTTTCAAATATTAGAATCTTTTTGGCAGCGATAAAATTATTAATTTTGGTGCCTGTCAGGGCACTTGTATGGCCAATTTTAATAACCTAATCATTAGTGGCTGCAGTTTCCTCCTGTTATCTCAGTTATCAAGCACAAGGAAAATAAAATCTCTCTTCTCACTTTTACAGTGTTAGTGTTACAAGACTTTACAAGCATTTTCTAGGCTTCAGGACTGCGATTTTAAACATCAGCAAATTATCGATGATTCACTTGTGAAGCATGGTGGCCAGGAGGCAACACTTCTCTGGATAGTCACTTCTTGCTTACCCAGCAGATCCTTTAAAATAAATAAATAGATTTATACAAAAGAAGCTTTATTTATTTAAGTATAAAGTGATGTAAAAATTGGCTATATCTTGTGACACTGCTGTGAGGGCATCAGGCAGACAAGTTGACATTGTTTATTTTACCCATTAAGTTAATTAATACATTTTTGGATACAGCGTCAATCCAGGTATGGAATTTATTTATTTATTTATTTATTTATTTATTTTTTAGCTTGATCACCCAGCTTATAGGAGACTGAGGTTTCTCCCATCACACTTGCTTGCAAAGAGAAGACATTAATTACTCACATTTCATATTTCTGGTGTTGATGCTAGCAGATGAGAAGCTGCCAGATGCATTTAAATTACGTATTCCCTTTTTTTACTTAATTTTGGAACCCAAAATAAACAGAACATTAGAAACAAATTCAGCTGCTTTGTCTGTAATTTACTTCCTCCTGTGTGTGTCTGTGTGTGTGTTTGACCTTTTCAAATTTAATGTCGTTGCCATGAATTGACGTCTGTTTTTAACCTTATTATTTGGAACATTGAACTGGAGCTTTGCATGCGTTTTAAAAAGTAATTGGGTTGCATGTTGCCCTGTTTTTGTTTGATAAGAGTTTCCACAATGATGCATCCCCTAATTGTTCATTCACAAACATGACAGTGAGTCACTGATGTGATTATGTGCTCCTGCTGCTTCTGTTGTTTGTCTGTCAGGTGAGCAGATGAAAACCCTTTACAAAAAAAAAAAAAAAAAAAATGTCACTGAGATAATCCAGAGGTAATGAAAGGTCTGCCTGAAAGCAGAGCAACTAACATTTTAACATTCTCTCCCCATCTCTGCAGTCGACTATGAGTCCATCTCTCTCCACGGAGACACTGACTCTATCTCCTTACATCACCTCTCCCACGGCAACAGCCAGTCAGATTTCGACAAGTCATCGACCATCCCGAGAAACTCCGACCTCAGATTCCAGTACCGGGAGTTCATCCACTCCAAGCGTCCTGCCTCTACTGTCAGCCTATTGGCTGAGTCCGACTTGAGTGGTGTGTCTAACCGCCAGATGCCATCCCACACGGCAACCATCAGGCGAAAACCTTCATCTAAGCCGCCTTTTCGCAGAGGAACAATCAGTGGTGGGGTTCCCATCCCCATCTCCACCCCGCAGGTTCCACTCAAACCCCTCGGCGGAACCAACGGAAGCGATGAGAACGTTTTCAAAGTGCCCTCTTCTGTAGGTTTAGGTCACAGTAAACTCTGCACCTCCACCCAGAGCCTTAGTGCTTTACCACCCTCCTCCTCCCCATACTACCAGATTGTCCCAGGCCAGATGCCCATCCCAGTGCCCATACCCACTGTTCCTTCACTGCCATCTGAGGGAGGGAACAGTGTCAAACAACAGCAACAGAGGCAATACCAGCAACATCAGCAATACAGTCAACCACAGCAACAGCACAACCAGCAATTCCAGATTCAACAGTTCCAGCAACAGCAACAGATTCAGCAGCAACAGTTCCAGCAGCAGAAACAGATTCAGCAGCAACAGTTCCAGCAGCAGAAACAGATTCAGCAGCAGCAGTTCCAGCAATGGCAACAGATTCAGCAGCAGTTTCAACATCAGCAGCAGCAGCAGCAGTTCCAACAGCCCCAGATTCAGCAAGCCCAGCAGCTGCAGCCTCAGCACGATCAGTATCAGCTGCAGTTGAACCAGCAGCAGAAACAGAAGCTGTTCCAGCAGCAGCAACAGCAGCACCAGGCCTACACTACTCAGGCAGAGCCCTCCGGTGTGCCCAACAACATCAACTACCAGCCCCAGGCTCCTCCACCCTCCAGCCAGGACCAAAACCCTGAGCAGGTCACCCTAGAAGAAGAAGAAGGAGATGGAGGAGGCAACAGAAACATGTTGACCCTTCTTAGAGGAGTAAAGCTCAGAAGGACCATCACCAATGATCGCTCTGCCCCTCTCCTACCCCCTCCAACCAATCACAAATGAGGCTGACCAGCAGATTTTTATTTCTCTGCTAAACTGTTAAGTTTAGTTTGGTTTCTGAAGAGATATCAGAGTGTGTCAGCACAGAGAAAACTCAAACACACTTTGAAAGTGTTGACAGATTGATTTTTTTCGCTGGAACTCAACATTGCTTGTTTTATTTTATAAATTTACTTGATTGCCCTTTTAAATTTATGTTTTAAGCATTTTTGAGACTTTTCTGTTGTTGCAGCAAACGTCTTTTTGCCTTTTTTTTCATGCATTTTGATTGTGGATAAAGTTTTTGTGTGACTCAGTCTTACAAAAAGAACTTTTGATTTGATTATTTTAGTTGGTACTCACTTCCTGGTCAGAAAATGTCATTAGGCAGAACAGGAAGCTGTTAGCATCTTTGGCCTGGCTGTGTTTGATTTGCTTTCTGCTTAGTCTCCCAGGATGGCGGGGTTTATCAGTAGTTCAGTGGACTCACAGTGGTTGAACCATGATCGTGGAGTTTCGAATTTACTGACTCTGGGTCAGTGATTGTCTGGTGTATTTGATCTGAGTATTTAGTTGGTTTCTGGTCATCTCAAAGAGCCAAATGCTAACACTCGTGACTTTGCATCTGGCTTTAGATTTAAATAAGGTAGAACAAGAAAGAGTTTGAGGACACAAGGACTGGGTTTGAGATATATTGAGATATATATATATATTTTTTTTAAGTGGCATATGGTCTGAGGTCACTTGATTGCTCTTACCTTAGATTGGAGATTTGTGCCACTCCTGGGACTCCAAATGTTTCCTCTGAACGTGAGAGTTTATGGAATACAATGAAAAATGTTACTGTGGGGAAAAACTCTGGTTTGCTGTGTAAATAAGCATCAAATTTTTTTTTAGAGCAAAAATCACAAATAGACAGCGGTTTGTTGGCAACTTTATGAGGCAACACTGATGTTTCAGAAGAAGCGGCTTGACAAATGTGGGTTGCATTTTTGCTAAACATAGCTGGCTATGATGAGCTGAACTGTAGAACAAAACTACCACAGGGGACTGATGGTTTGAATGTACTTTATAAGGTAAACGCTGCCATGTTTCAAGACTTAGATTTAGTCTAGACTTAGTCTTTAGATTTATTTACACAGATATGTGCATCAACAAGAATGCTTTAAACATCATTTTGTTAAAGAGATATTGTGGACAAGATACTACATGAATACCAAGAAATAAGTTTTTGGCATTTCTTGTTACTTGGTGACCAACATATACATTAATCCAAAACAACTTTAAAGTAATTGTTTGTAGTTCTCTTTAGTTCCACTATTATTGGAACCCACAGAACCTATGCATCGGTTTATTCTGGTGTCTTCTGTAAATGCATGACTGAATCTGGGTGGTTTGTAGGCCATGTCGTGATAATTCATGTTATGTGGCTTTGAAGTCCACTTGATGAGTGTGCATATCCTGGTTACAATATTTTAAGGAGTCCTCCTTGTTGTTGTTCCCCTGTATAGTTATAGGACATCAATGATGCGGATTTAAGCACAGCTAACATGTTGGCACGAGGAACATTGAATAATACAGTTTTATTCACAAGTAGTAAAAGCTATGCTGAAGTTATGTTTGAAGGGCATCAGGAGCAGATGTAACTTGACAATTATTTCGATTTTTAAAAAGAGTTATATTATTATATAAAATGTGAGAAAACCATAAAAAATGTCTCGTTTTTCTAAATTACTCAGATTATATTAAACTAAGTTATTTTTTTCAGCTCTAGTTACAGGTTTAAAAATTGTTTTTGAGTATCAACAAAGACCTTGTGATTTTTCCATATTGACTATTGGAAAATTCAGAAGCTACTTATAGCACTATGCTTTTATCATTTAGACAAACATTTTTCAAATTAGTTTCTATAAACAAAGGATCTGCTATATTCAGTGAAGTTTAGGTTTTGCTTGAAGTTTTCAATTCAACTCCACCCACTGAAATATCTCTGAAACATTCGTTTTAGTTGATTTACTGTAATCAACTCGGATAAAATGCTGCTGAGCCTCAAACTGTCGTAACTTTAAATTAAACATTTTTTCTACAGAGTTTGGTTGGACTGAAATAGCTGGTTCTATTTTTGATCTTTGTTCCAATTTGGTAAAATGTTTACCTCTGCTAATCATGACCTTCTAAATCGTATAAGTCTCTTTATTTTATTTTTTATTCCCTGTTTTGTTTTTGTTTTATTTTGTTTTTTAGTTTATAGTCCTTTAAGTCACACCTCAGATGTTATCAGTAATTAACCTGGAGTTTTGTCTTCTGATGCACTTCAGTCTAAGGCCATGAGAAATTGGGGGCGCTCACTTCCTGTGCTTGAACCAGAAAAATATAGCATCAAGTGCAGGTTAATAAAAGTTGACTAAAGAAATAATTTGTAGCTTAGCATATTTTACCATGGCAGCCTCATTACTTGGGTGTTTCCTGCTAATGCAGCTGCTAAACCATTGTGTTGCTTCTAAAAGTTGCCCATCTTCTTCATTTGTGAGCTGTTAGCATGTTGGACTCAGATTGTCCTCAGTTAAAGATTTGGCGAATTTGAGTGGTTAAAATAATTTTTGTTTGAGCAACAGCTGATTACTTTTATAATAATTTAATGTGGTAGTTCTTCTGTTGATTAATCCAACAATAATTAGGTTTATAAAAGATCAGGAAATTGCACAAAACAGTCAAATGTCCAAAATCCATAAATAGTCAAATTACAATTTTAGAAATCAAAGAAAAAGTTTTTTTTTCTTTTTGTGTTGGGGGGTCTTTTTTTTTTTTTTTTTAATAATTGATTAATGAATTATTAATTTTTCCACATTGTTTTAATTCTTAGCTCAAAATTTTACATTCTAATAAATTATTTCCTCTGATTCTTATAACTTCAAATTTTGGTTTAAAAATTATATAAAACATGGACGTAGCTTCTATATTTAAGTGAATACCTGCATTCTCGCTAACAGCCAACACGGGGGACAAATGTTGTTAGAAAAAGAAGTCTGTGGACAAACAACCATACTTCTTACTTATCTGTGATCTCCCTTTCCTGATGAGTTGTTGGGCTCTGTCACTGCTTTGAATACAACGTTATTTTCATTTTAATTCTTCTTCCTATTAGTCTCATAAAGCAAAGTGAGGGTTAGTTTAAGCTGTGCAGTGTTTCTGGGATTCTCAGATTGCCCTCTTGCTCGTGCCAGCAGTGGGTGATTTCAGAGGCTACATCCATCTTTTATGTACAGTCTGTGCCTATTGGACAGGAAATTATAACATGATAGCAATTATGATACTTTCTACCAAAATTATACCTGAAACTGCTGAGACGACATTAAAGCAGGAAAATTTAAGTTAATTCAACCGGTAAATTTTTTATTTTGGTTCGTAGCTCCTAATTTCTTTGGTGTGAGGAGCTCTGGGCCTCAGTATTTCTAAAGTTCTACTTTGAAGCTGCCTGTGAGAGACCTGCTGCATGCTGGGAAATGCAGTCTGCTTTGTGGTCAGCTGGTCCTGGTCAGTTCCCGGAGAGACTTTTGTGTATTTTAAGACTTCCTGCAGCTTCATTCTGATTCGTCTTTAAGCCTCTCTTTTTGATTGGACCCAATGAGCCCCACAGCAGTTGTGTATGTATATATTAGTGCTTCTATTCCTGGGAGAGATCTAAGTCTATAAATCTATATAAAGATGTACGTATACGTATCCTGATTGTACTTTTATTTTGTTGATTTATTATTGATCTGATGACGTGGTTGGTTGGATCTGACGCTGCCAGTGATCGTCGCTCATCATATTTTTTTTGTAGAAAAGCTTTAAAGGAGGAAACCCAGTGAACTTCCAGGTCTTTGAGGATCTGATACCTGATTGGACATCAGACTGTTAAACAAAAGGACTGAAAGGACATCTAGATGATATAAACCAAGAGAATGTAGACATGTTCTGTTCTTCATCTTTTGACGCTCGCTGTGGGATCAACAATAATAATAATAATAATAATGCTGATGCTGATTGGTTCTGGTATTTTTTTTGTCTGTGTTCTGTTTACTGTACTCTTTACACCTGTAGCAGTATAAATTTGCTGTAGGAGTGCTCTGTTTCTATAAAAAGTTCAATATGCAGAAAACTGAAGGACTGCTGACAGCTATTCATAGCGCTGAAACTCTACAAAATAAGCAGTTCTGAAAACTTTGGTCAAACACTGCAAGTAAACATTCATCTTTTGTTTTTGTCCTTATTTTTGTTGTATTGCAGCTACTTTATCATTTACAGTACCAGCCAGCACCTCCTCTAACTGAAGTGCTCTCACATGATCCTCTGGGGTGTGATTTAGGCGTGTGTGCGGTACAAATACAAAATCCTTTCCACGGAGTACAGCGAACACACATAACAGTGTCCTCAAAAGGGACCCTTTACGCTGCTCCTTATTTTCTGCCATTTATATATTCTGTTAGTGGGATGGATGTTAATGTTAAACATGGCCAAAGTTTCAAATAATGAGTTCAACATTTTTACAAGTAATCACCAAGAGCCAAAATCTCAAAGTGCTTTAGTTCCTTTCTACTCTTACAACTGTACGATGTCATTAATAGCATATATCCCTATTGTGGTCATCTCAGGACAGAAGCCCCACCCACATCAGAAGATATGTATCCTAAAGGGGCCCTGTTCTGCGTATTTGTTTGCCCTACTACAGAAGCTCAGCATGATTTATCCTGTAATGTTCACGCTGCCATGCAAAAGCAGTGGTACCTGTGCTTCTGTAGGACCAGTGAAGTGGCGGACGAGTAAAAAGCGATTACAGTTGTGTTTTTTTATTGAATTTATTGAAAGGATCCTCAATAATCTGAATGATGGGCAGTAAAAAAAAAACAAAAACAAACATTAAAAAATGCCTTTTTTTTCAAATCAGCTGATTTCATTGTGTGAAGGGAGGAGGAGAATGGTGGAGTCGTCTATAACACCTTAGGAGCGAGGACTTTACCATGAAAATAAAAATAAGTGGTCAAGTCCAAACTGCATCCAGGATGCAAATGGCTATGTTATACTCCTGACACAACATTAGCTCTTTGCAAGCATCTGCACGGACAGCATGCTAACACAAAGGCAGCAAACAGTCCAGTGTGATGCCAAAGCTGAGTGTAAGCTGACCTGACCTCATTTTCAGCAGGTAACAAAAGCACTGGGGCCTCAGGTCCTACCTGCACGTGGTTGGTGATGGCTTTGAAGTCTTATCGGGCTGGTTTTTGGCTTTGTGCTCAAACTTGAACACTAGAAGGAAGATCATGTGTTTGTGCTCAGTAGGACATTTGGGTGGGGCTGCAGCTTAACTTTTATATTCCTAACTGGTTATCATCTTACACTGAATTTCAGAGCATGTAATGGACTGACACAGTAATGTAACAACACTGGCTACTGGGAGGCTGTTAGCACCCATCCTAGCTAATGCTAATAACATTCATGACCTCAGGCAAGATGAAGAGGAAGCATGGGCTTGCTGGCAGGTATTTTCCCACACAGGTGACTTTGATAAGATAAGATAACTCTTTATTATCATTGCACAGTCATAAATAGTATAATGAAACTGGAAAACTGTCCCATGTCAGCACTATGTACAACACGACACAGTAACTTAACTTGGCTGCAACTCCCCTGAAGTCTTCACCTGTAGGCATGACTACTACATTCACAAGAGTATGTGTTGTTATTGTTGCAGTGGAAGCAGGTGAACTTGGAATTTAGGTGAAAGTTGAGGTAAAGATGGCAGCAGCTGTGACTGCAGGCTAAAGCAGTAACTTGGCTCATGTTGTCCTTTCATAAGGCACTGAGTCATCTTTTGAGCTTTGTGTTGCTCAGAGTCATCTGATGCTCAGGGGCAGCAGGTGGGGGGTGGGGGAATTGAATTAAAGACACGTGCATTGGTTTTTTTTTTTAAATCTTTGTGAGAACAGTTGTTGGTATAATGTATTCATTAACCCCTCTAATCCCAGCCTAAACCAGACTCTATTATGAATCCTGAAACCGAGACCAAACTCGCAAAAAAGCGCTTTAAAGATTTGAAGTCAGCACAGTCCAGACCCATTCTTCTCTTTAAGAGGTTCAAGATGATACTTGTCCACATAAGCATACAAAACACACAAAAAGACAGGTGAGTTTGTCCACTTGTAAGGAACTTAGTCACTGTTACATAAAACCTTGAAGCTGTGACAGCGGTGAGTCACGCTGACCCAAATACTGGAGGAGGCAAACTCTGCTCAGTGAGTCAAAGCCCACATCACAGTGACAGTGCACAAATCTCTGTGTTACACCAGTGTTGCAGCAGATGGAGTTTCTCTCTGTACCAGCAGAGGATGCAAGAGACCAAAACAGTATAAAGCCTTTACATGCACCTCTGAGAGTAAACATGCTTAAGTCTTATTCTTTTTTCCTGTAATTTCACCTCCGATTCTTTGTGTTTGTCCTGTTTCACACTGTCCAACTCTGTTCTGAATACTACAATACTGAAAATAAACTTAAGGTATTATATATGTTAAAATATACTCCTAATGATTAAACTACATTTTTAATAGTGAGACAGTCTGTGAGCAGCACTTTAGATCCTGTAAGTAAAAGTTAAGGCCACCCTGGTACCTCGTATATCCCACAGTATTTAATATACTGTATATAACATGATCCTCCCATCCCTTTTCTTCCATTTATTGGATTTCCGGTTACTGTGGGTCTGGAGTACATCCCATCGGTCACAGACTGAAGGGCAAGGATCACCCTGGACAAGTCACCAGGCTGTCTCAGGGCCAACACACAGAGACCTTCTCTCATTATGAAGTTTTGAGCTGAGGCTTTTCGCTATTTTGTGTTTAAGGTGATTTGATCAGACAGAGAATGTGAGGAACACTGCAAGCTGATATCGCACGAGCGATATGTCGATCACAAAACTGTTTTATATTCCTTTATCACCCCTCAGCTGCAAAAGGCTGATTATGCGTCATCGTCATCTTGGCGAGGAGGTGACGTGGACGCCCAAGTTTGTGATATGCGATAACTCAAGAACGAAATGACGTACCAATTCCAAATTGTTACCATAGCTATATCTACTGAAAATCTTGAATGTGACCTCAGTCTTAAGATCAAGGTCATAGGTCAAGTTTTCTGAAAATCTTGTGAATGCGATGTAGGAATTTCAAATTGATACCATGGGTACATCTGTTAGTTGGCTGAGGGGTAGCACTGGCTGCTGTCAGTCTTTTTATGAATCCCAGTGGAATCAAAATTCACTAAAAAAAAACATTGTATTAAAAAACAAACTGAAAATAGCACCTCAGAACATGAACCTGTCAGAAAAAGTGTTAATGCCCCCTGCTGGCCATTACATTTCTGAGCTCAATTAGTCCATACCATTGACTGTAGAAAACAGTCAATGGCCCATACTAAAAACAGATTTATCTCTATCCTGTTAATGCTCCCATCTCATCATGTAGCGTATAGGGGTTTTCAGCTTTTGCTAGCATGCTCTTTTTTTTTTCTTTTTTCCAGTAAGTTGATGCTAATCGTCCCCGCTTGTTGAAAGCATCATTATCTTCAAGAGGTTTCCCCTCTTTGTGAGAGGGAGAGAGAGAGGATTGAGGCTCGTGGATCGTGCCGAGTTGTTTGTTCCTTTGTGTGTTCTTGTTCATGGTTTTGAAATAAAAAGTGTATTCATTAGGCTGAAATAACATTTTATGTGAATGTCCTGATGAGTCATGGTAAATGGATGATGGTGAGATCAACTCTGTGAA